GTGGAGAGGTGGGTTAAAAGGTCTGGACCAAGGAAGTCAGGATTCACAATGTGTCCAAATAACCAATAAGAGGGACAAGGTGTTGGTCTTTTGTACAGCCACAGGACCAAACAAAGTGACAGTGTTGGCACGAAACTGTAAGTAGCAGTAGATGCTTCTGAAACTGTTAATAAGTAACAACAACAAAATGATTTAAGTAGGAATTATAAGGCTCCTTAGAGTGTGCTGTGGTGAAACCGTTGTTCTATGACAGGCATTGCACCTGTGGAGAGACAGACCTCTGTAAACACACTGGCTGTGCTGTGAGATTGTTGTTTGCAAAGGAAGGTCTGGAAATAGCTAACTGAGCAATTTCTTTTTAGCTGCAAGCGAGGCACACCTTGGGCTTGTTCGGCTCTGGAGGGAGGAAAAGGTTGTTTAAATGTCACCTCCTGACCCTAACTCCACACACATTGCTGCGCCAGCCGAGAAATAAGTTATTTGTAAATGTCTCAGATGCCCTAAGGCCATGGCGTGTGTGTGACAGAGTGTGTATTTGTGACTCCGTGTGTGAAGACTGTAAATGAGAGCTGTACAACACTGAACATGACATTTTGCAATATATGATATCAAGCTAGCCAGCCGCAGGCCACATGCTGCTAAATGCTCAGTGAGTTAGTCTAACCCAGTGTTTCTTACCTTGGGAACAGACCACCCAAAGTGACAGGATCCCTTTGGAAGCTTTCAACATGTTTTATGAGTAGGTCGATTTGCCAATGTACTGCCAGATTGGCGGGCTACTGGGCCGAAAGTATCATTTTATAATGTATATTTATGATGTTTATTTAATAACTCAGTGTGAAAGTTATGTGTACACAGGGTGTGTTTAAGGCAGCGTTTCTCAAAGTGTGGGGCGTGCCCCACTGGTGGGGCGCAGAGATGTGATAGGTGGGTCGCGAATGGACGCGATGAACGGGAGATTATTATTATTATTATATTTATTTTTTTAAATACATTTTTTGGACCTCAGGCCGGAATCGAACCTGGGTCCTTGTGGGCGGTAGTGGACTGTTACAGCCGGAGACTCGCAACGGCGGTGGACTTTCACAGCGCCGCCAGAGCCGCCAGAGCCGCCAGAGCCTCGCAACGGCGGGTGTTTGCGGCGGCGGATGCGGTACCGGCGCAGCGGCGCTGTGAAAGTCCACGGCCCACCTATGCCAGAGCCAGTGGCCCACCGAAGGCAGCAGCCCACCAATGGCAGCGGCCCACCGGGAAAAGTCCAGAATCTCCCGATGGCCAATCCGAGCCTGCTCAATATGTGAAAATCTCTCACACACATGTGAAACGCTCTCACACACACACACAACAGCGTTGCAGTCGGGAAAAAAAAGCAATGTGGAGCGGCACCTCACCACTTCATAAGGAGTTTAACCGTGACACTTTTCAAAATCCCATTTGTGTCCTCCCACTTTACAAATAGGCATATGTTTATTTTATTTTTTTAACGCAAGCCGTCATCGCCAGCGAAGAGCACACAGCCTCTGTGAGCGAGCGAGACACAGAGAGAGAGAGAGAGAGAGAGAGCGAGCGAGAGAGCACACCTTTATCTATTTAATATAGCCTAGTTGTAAAAAATAAAGTAAGAAATCATTCCAATAGGACAGTAAAAAAAAAAAAAAACAGTTTAAAAGGGGAGTGATTAGTAAAATATGCATACATAGAAAGAAAGAATGCTATAGGTAACACAAGATAAGAATAAACAAGTTTAAATGATTTGTTATTGGTTGTGATCATATTATAAAGATGTCTGGATTATTGAAAAGTATACATCTCCCTTTCATCTGAGTGTTGAGAGCTGTTTCCATAAATTCCTGTTGTGCTCAAAGTGCACCAGATTGATGCTTTTGACTTCAACATTTAAAAAAAAATCTTCCCGGGGGTGCATGCCCCCGGACCCCCCTAGAGGATGTGAGGTCCCCCCTGGAGGAGGTGAGGACCCCCCTAGAGGATGTGAGGTCCCCCCTGGAGGAGGTGAGGACCCCCCTAGAGGATGTGAGGTCCACCCCCAAATAAAGCAGGTTAAAATAATTAAATTTAATACATGTTCTTTTAGTAAACACTGAAAACGGGTCCCACAGACCCAAACAGCACACAAAGGTTAAAGGTCAGCATATCATAATGTTAAAATGTGCTAAATATATACACTGCAAAAAACAAAAAAAAGAGGAGTAAAAGTAGCTCACGACTTGTTTTATTTTTTGAAAGTAGCTCTCATCCTAAAAAAGGTTGGAGACCCCTGTTATAGAACGATACATTTGACAATTTTAAGCTTGGCCTACCATTTGATTGGAGCTATGATGAACAGGTGGGGATTGAAAAGGCCCACCTGTTCAAAGCGGGGAATGACAGAAAAGGTTTGAGAGCCACTGGTTTAAGGCCTGCAATTGTATTAAGATGTTATCAAACTGACCATCTGCCGCCACCACCATCTGCAAATCACATTCGTATAAGACTTGTAAAGAAAATGCAAAAAAAACAACATTATGGTTTGTCTGGCAGTGGGATATTTTCTATATAAAGTCTTTTTTACTGTTTTACTAACATAGGCCTGCTATAGTATATTTTATTGGAGAATAAGTGAAGGATTCATTCCTGAGGACAAAATATAGATTGCTGAAGGACATTTTATTCAGGGTGTGTGACAGTTTCATAAAAAAAGAACGATGCCTTTTTTAAGAGACTTATAATCAGAAAGCGAGAAGCAATGGGAAAAGTTGCAGGTTTTATGTACAAAATGAAACACAAATAAAAACTCACACCTTTCAGTTTATAGAACCTTCATGAAGTAGCTTTTTTTTCATGAGAACATTTTTTTTTTCTACGCTTCCTCATCACAATAAATATCTGTTCAAATACCAGGTAAAATAAAAAATTGAAATCTGTTTCGTGATGTAAGTTTAGGACTAGAAACCACAGATGGTTTACAGCCCATCCGAACCCAACGCCTGAACAGTGCTGATTTACGATGACGATACCCTTCAATAAGGACGGCGGTCCAATTATTTAAAATTCAATCAGCATTAACGTCGTCACTGAGGCCAGACAACAGACATTAATAGGCTCCACATCCCCTGCGCACTTTGCTGTCATTTGCCTCTCTTCCCTGTTTCCCTCCCTCCTCCATCTTCCCCTAGTTCTATTCATTTGGCGCAGCTATTAATAGCCCGGCCACCCGCCTATCAATACCATCACAACTCCAGCAAGACAGAGGATGTGGGCATGGCCCAAGCCCAGCCAGTGGAATGAGAATAAATGAGCCAAACTACAGAAACCTGGTCTTATGTAAGGTGAGAGAGAGGCTCATCAGACAACTAGATACTATAGGAAAGAGACAGAGAGAGCAATGTAGAGAAATGGGACATAAAGAACAAAAGAAAAAACAGTCCCAATTTCATGGATAATTGGAAACTGAAAGATCGTGAAAGACAAAAGGGAGACATTTACACATTAGGTGCAAGACAACAACAAATATGTGAGGAAAGAGAGGAATCCACCAGCTCTCTCAACGTTTACACACATTCCTTTCCTCCCATTCCGCCCGCAGTGACTACAACCTCATATTTATGGGTCCACATTCTTCCCTCTCCATTTTCATTTTCTTTCCATCTACCCCCCACCTCCCCTCTCACTTTCTACTTATTGATCGAGGCGGGTTCACCCGCTTCTCTGCGGCAAAGAGAAAGACTATTGCATTATCCATAAAAGCAAGGTTCTCTGTCTGCTTTGAGTGTTTATATCACCTCCTCCTCATCGTCCTCCTCCTCCTCCTCCTGCTGCTGCTGCTGCTGTCTGGCCTTTGTCACTCTACCTACTGGTTTACAAATCTCTCGATAGAAATCCAAAGATGGGTCACACACCTGCTTTCACAACTGCTCGATCACATTTGGAAAGTTCCTTTTACTACGATTTATAACTGTTGAAAACCTGGACCAGCTCTAGCTCAAAAAGCTATTGAAAGAAATCAGATGACCAAGACATTGATATATTTTAAAAAATGGTAAAAAATATCAAGCAAGTTTCACTGGATGACAAAATGATTGATTGGAATGGTTATCATAATCACGCAGTCCCTTGTGTTATCAACTCCAGAGGCCTCCATAGGACAAATACATACAGCTATAGTCTTTGTTCCTATCCTACAGTGGAACTCAATTGACCTATTTGCTTGAATATATGTAAAATTAAAGAACATAACTGTCTAAAAACTTGCTACCCAAATTTAATTAAGTGTTTATGTTAATGTAATATTTTTGCACCTCTGGCCATTGAGGCTTTAACGTTTAACATTTACTATGACCTCCTAATCACTGGTGGCAAATAATATATTGGGAACAAAATGTAGGGGTTTGTGCTACACATATTAATGTTACTTTTAAAAATAAATGTGATGGTTAAATGACATCAAAACCATGAAAGTCTCTTACCTGGTTTCCACCAAAACCCAACCAAAGGATTGTTAACTTCTGATTCAGATTACGCTATTGTCCATTAAATAGATAATTACTTCAACAGGTTTTTGATTGAGGGAACAGCTGATGGAACTGAAGAAATAAAGGATTTCTTGTTATGCTAGTTTCCGAGAGAAAGATGTAATACTTTCAACACATTGTTTGCTAAATATTCATAACTTCGGAGGAAAACAAGGAAAACTGATGAGCTGAAAGATCAGAGTCCCCTCTCTAGAACCTGTGAGACTACGGTTTCCCAAGTTTACCTTGAATAATTAATACAGCGCAGGAGAAGAGAGAACTACACACATCAACCTATGAAGTAAAAGAAACTCTTGACTCTCTTGTAGATACATGACATATAGCGGTAACCGCTTGGCATGCCAGCCCTCAGATCAGAATATGATAAGAATTTTTTCTTTGCAACGTTGACGTGTTTAGATTTTTTTTTTAACTAAAGTATACTTATGAGCATTAGTCCCTCTATAAATCAGTGTGTCTGTGTGTGTGTACCTTGGTGATGAGGATGCGGTAGTGCTCAAGCAGGTCGTGGTTGTCGTGGCAACCGGCCAGCAGCTGCCAGACTTCTGCTCTGAGTGGCTCGGGAATGCCACTGCGAACCAACGAGGGCAAACCCTTCGGACGAGTGGACAGGTTTGCGTGCCTGATACACAACACACAGAGGTAATGCATTAGTTTCTAATCCAATTCAGCCTCTTTAAATCTTAATGTGAAGTGCAGCTGGACAGGTTTGATAATTGTTTCTTGCGCAGAGACAGTTTGTAGACCAATCAAATCATTCAATTGCGTTATACGCCTGTCACACTGAAGTAGACATGTGGCACAACAACATGACTGAGATTACGGTATGAACTTCAGTGTCGAGTTGTGTACAGATTGAATGCATTATTAACTGCCTTACTAATTACAGCACGACCTACCTCATTAGTTGGAGTACAGTTTTGAGTACAGTAATACTGTAAACACTCTACTAACTACAGTAATCAAGTACAATAGACCAGAGTCTCAACCGCAGTGCTGCCATACTGTGAGAGTTCTCCCACTTGAAATATCTTGCTTTTTTTAAAACACAGCGTCAGCTCTTTTTAATGATGCTTGAAATCTCATCATAATGCATTTATTGAAGCAAAGCAATTGCTTGATAAACTACTTCACCTCATTGTGCTGAGGCAACAACAAGAAAACGGGCTGTGAAATCAAATAAAAGTTGAGCATCTTTCATCGGTCGTTTGGTTAATAAAGCTTCACAACTAAAGCTGTATGTAACAAAGTGGTTGCTATTACAGCACAAAGCATTGGAATAATGACAGGACACCACCGTATGTGTTAGAGAAGATACATTAATACATTAGCTGTGTAAGAAGGGAACTGTTTTCTATAGTAAAATAGTTGATATAACAATCAAAAGTTCTCGGCATTTGCACAAGATAAACAGCTGGAATTCATAAATACATGAATGTACCGTACCTAAAATCCCGTTGTTTTACACTTCTTTATATTCACCTCACATTTGTCTAAATTTAGATAAATATGGTGCATCTGCCGGCTCCAATGCTGTATTAAGTATATTTTTAAATGCTTGTTATTTTTATTATTAGGATTTAAGTGCCCTTTACATTAAATTGTTATGACGAACATGTCCTGAGATATTAAAACAAAAATATACTTTGGTAGCAGCTAAAAACGTTCCTTCAAATCTCCAATTAATTGTTTTCCATTTGAGGGTACAGCATTTCCACATTACCAGCACCTGGTTCCCTCTCTATTCCTCCACCATCCACCTCTAAACTCTGTATCTCTAGCGTAGCCATTTCTCCATTTTTATTTGTATCTATACTTTCCAGTCCTGTATCCTCAATCGTTCCAGTATCAACCTCACCGTGTCCAGCGAACAGCTGTCTTTAACAATTTAATTTCATCTAAAATTAAATTATTTGCAATTTGAAATGTCTCAGTCTTTTTTTCTTTTTTTTTTAAACCTTACCATCTGGTGAGGATTCCTCCCCAGGACTCCAGGATTTTCTCAGGACAATCTTTGGAAACGTCTCCTGTGCCACTGGAGATTTCACTGTCACTATCTGTAGGAAACACAGACACACACAGTTTTAACAAACATTTAGAGCATAAATGGATAATTCCCGATATCTTTAACCTACAGTTCTGAGATCAACACCTCGTTGACAATGGCTTTAAAAAGTTATATTACCAAATGTGTTGAGCTACCTTCATGTTAATTACTATGCAAAGACAACAAGACACATTGTTTGGTCTTGAATAAAGGATTTGTGAAGAGTAATGTGCCATCAGCCATAAGTCTGCTGGAAGGAGATTTATACCTATATATTTATATACCTTTTTTGATGTACTGTATGTATCTCAGCGAGATCTGAACTGTTTGCATTTAAAAACCTGTTAATATTGATGCACACAGAGAAATCTAGAAAAGAATTCCATTATGTTTGTTGGCTTGTAAGGCAGACAAGACGCAATCGACACATTGAACCACTTGTGTTTAGATGCAGAAACACTAATTGACCGTCTGGCCTGCTCTGCTGCTGGAGAGATGAACGGATCCCCACACAGAGCCCGCCCACTGGAACAAACACACACACACAAACACACACACATCACACAGAGTCCAGCACATAACAGTGAAAATGATGCCTGGGTATGAAAACCCTATGGTGGCAATGAACTTCTCAACAAGGCGTTAAGATTTCACTGATAACCAAATAACAAGTTCGAACAGCAACAAAAGTCTTTCACGTCCTCATTCACTACCACTGAAGCTTTTAATAACTCCTTGGCATTAAATAACGAGTTAAGACATTTTCGTCAAGAACATTCGTCTATGCTTAATGCACTGCTGCTCCTTTATACCTTCCAGCCTCAGCCGGAGCTTTTCAGGTCTTAATAAATGCTTGATGAGCCCTTTCAAATGTTTCAGACCCAGCACAAAGCTGCAGCCTCTTGCCGGAGAGCACGTGGAGAAGAACCCTGAGTCCAATGCCACTGCCAACTAACCAGGTGATGAAAGAAGCTGTGAAGACGAGGGCCATTAAGGTTAACCTTTAACCCCGAGAGGAGCTGTGCATTCACTGTAGGATTACTTTTAAAAATAGGATCTATCAGATGTTGAAGCCACTAGTCGATTGGTTTTGTCTACATTAAAATTGATCAGAAATCCCCTAGTAGTGCCTTAAAGATCTTCTACCTTCATATTTATAGTATTTTAATCTACTTTAGTTGATCTCCTTTTATGTCCTTTACGTTGTCTTGCACTCTCACCGCCTTTTTTACCAGAGTCTCTTCAATCAATCAAACCTTTCTTGTATTGTTGATTTTAATAATATTTGTATTATAAATGAACTGAATGGATGTATGCATGTGTTTGATTGCAGTGTGTATACAATCAGAACATACACACAAAGGGTCTGCCTGCATGTGTATAAAAAAAATAGATTAACAATGAAAAACAATCACAAAGCCTGCTGTGAAAAGCTAAGGAAACAAAAAGAATCGAGATTGTCAGCTTCGAGCCTATTTTCCCCCTTGAACATTTCGAAAAGAAGAGAAGAAAAAAAAAACATCCACATGAATTGAATGCGTGTGTGCGAACAACGGTGGCATCTAAGCTAAGAATGTATTCATTTCTGTACACAATGACGGCGACCTCCGGCTCCATGGCCCTGAGCGCCTCCAATGTTCAGCTCTGGGGGAGGAGGGGGTGTTTTAGAAAAGGCCCTCTGAATGGCTCCTGCAGTGCCAGTGAAAGCCGTCAGCTTCGGCCTTGGCGGCTGACTCGTGACTTTGGATGACAATTTGGGCCTCCCACTCAGGCTGGAGCCACACGAGAACGGTAACGGTTGCATCCGCTACAGTTCTCTATCATATAGATGGTTCGGCCACACGAGGCCGACAGGGAAACGCAGATAACGATAACGGGTCCCAAGGTGGGTAGATCTGCGGACGAAACGCTCTGGGGGGCCAAACGGCTCCGTGTCTACGCCCTCTATACGATCATTTTCTGATAACGATGATGCAATAGCCCCGCCTCTCCCCACCTCTCCTGCTCACCCCTGTGTCACCCGCGTCATTGCTGATGTGTTTCGCCAACAACAACAGTTTTCCGAGTGTTTCGAGCCAGGTCCCGGTATCTCGCAGGACAGTGCACCCAGCAGGTGCCTTTAGCAGACCCCCCCGCACGGCAGAGTTTCCGTTAGCCGAAATCTAAAATTCTCCGATCAAAATGTCGCTTACTGTTTAGGTGTCCTTTGACACTCAGGCAGTCATATCATTAGCTAGAACTAGCTAGATCTGATCGATATGGACATAAACGCGAGTGAAGTCTAATCGGACAGGAGAGAGAGATCAGAGATCAGCTGCTGCTGAAGCATGCTCGGAAGTCTTCTTCGCTGCTTTTGGTGTGTTTTGTGGCGGAAGTACAGCGCCACTTACAGGCCCGGCATATGTACTACAGCGTGTCCAGCGGTCTCGTGTGGAAGGACACGTTTCTGGTGCCTATTGCGTGTGGACGGAAGACTTTTTTGATAACGATTTCGGCTTGTTTGCGTTACCGTTCTCGTGTGGCTCCAGCCTCAGTAAACATATTTTACTGCTTCAAGATGACCAAAGAAGAAGAGTTTGACAGTGGCAGAGAAAAGAGAGAAGCCTCCAAATAAGACGAGGAGGAGCCTCCAATGTGTTGGCGTATCAGGATTTTGTAAAACATTTTTACAGAAAATTAAAGAGCAATGGGTTTTGATTTAAGTTGAGATGTTGTATGTTTACATCCATATGGGCTGAGGTGAATATTCCACTGCAGTCCAGTAGTGCTATAAACCCTAACAGGATTGAGACAGGCTCAACACAGAACCACTCTCGCTTGATACACAAGCACACACACACACACACACATACACAAGCGTGCATTAACACACATAAGATTCTGCCTACAGTTATTAAACACCCACAAAGACAAATCTGTTGTGAAACACACAGAATCCCTTCATTTACTTTAACACATACGCAAACAAACACACACTAAAACCCATTCCCCATAATCTCAACACGTAGCTGGTATCTCATGCCATGCCTCACTTACATATAAACATGTTCAACACACAACCCTGCCAATGTTTACGTGCCTTAACTAAATGAAACTTCACAGTTGATTCATGTCAGCCCAAAAAATAAACTGAGAAAGTGTGTGTTGGTAAACCTCTATTTCAAACTGAATATCTAGACATATGATCTCATTTAGATGAGGCGTTCATGCAACCCAGAAATACCCCCCCCCACTAGATATGTGAAACTTAAAGTAAATGCTCGCTCTGACAAGCTATTTGTGCCTGAGAGGGTTCAGAGAAGTCTCTCGTTATGTTGACGACAGTGAGGGATTTGTGCAGAGCTATGCAATGTGAGGTCGCATTTTTCAATCATGCAAGAAAAATGACTTTGAGATGTGGCTCTTGGATGCATTTGTGTATCGATATACAGCATGTGTGGGTTTTTTTTGGGGGGCGGGCATTCTGATAAAGAATGTTGGCGTTTAACAACAATGTCAAGCATTGTGAAGCCTGACGGGCTTTTGTCAGTTATGATTATGTATTGCGGTATAGTATGAGGAGAATCCAAGCGACTGAGGAGAGAGCGAGAGAGAGAAATCCATACCTTCATCAGCCTCCTCTTCCTCAGTGGGCGAGGCCAGTCGTCCTTCATTGCTCCTCTCTGCCTCCCTCTGAAGACTCACCACCTCATACACAGCATCGCTCTGTCCCACCCTCTCTGGTGCCTGCTGTACACACACACATTACATTGCATTTAGCTGACGCTTTTATCCAAAGCGACTTACAATAAGTGCATTCGACCAAGAAGATACAAACTTGAAGAAAACAGAATCATATAAGTACATCAGGTTTCATAGAGCCAAAACATTTCAAGTGCTACTCAACTGGCTTTAGATAAGCCAGTCCTTTATTTTTTACACACACACACACACACACACACACACACACACACACACACACACACACACACACACACACACACACACACACACACACACACACACACACACACACACACACACACACACACACACACACACACACACACACACACACACACACACACACACACACACACACACACACACACACACACACACACACACACACACACACACACACACACACACACACACACACACACACCGTTTACAGCATCAAGGACCTGATATATATATATATATATATATATATATATATATATATATATATATATATAGTAACAAACGAGTGCTCAAACCATTAAACCCTCTTTTCAGTTCTGCAGGACAGACAGCAGTCCCAGCTCTCCAGAGAACGAGTGCCAGTATTCAAGTGTCAGTATGAGAGTGGCAGCGACAGTCAATCTCAACAAGGCAATCGGCAGGACCACCCTCGGACCTAACATTGAGCAACTGTCTGTATTGATCGTGCAGGTGGTCAGGCCAGAGCTCACTGTCCAATCAGATGACAACATTAGGAAGAAAAGGGCCATGTATCAGGAGCTAGGGTAAGACAATTTAAAAGACTGAATAAAAAATGAAAACCAGAATGAACTTTTATCTAAAACCAACCCTGATGACTGAGTAGGGTGGGTTATAATCCGAGTCACCTACTGTACTGTATGTGCTTATATTTTGGTGGCAAGAGATTTTCATTTTTTTACCTTTATTAGATGGAGGGGAAGAAAGAAAGACGTTAAAGACTAAGAGGGAGCACACCGGCCACCCAATATTTTGTGTTGGAGACATTAACTGAAATGAATAAAATAAACAACTACTCAGGACTCTTGTGAATACTTGACTTGCATTTGACAGGTAGAAAGATCTACATCTATTACTCAATTTCTGTTTCTGGGCAGGCAATGTTTTGAAAGTGTTTGCTTCAGTCATATGAACTAGAAAATTGCAGAAATACATCAATGATCCCTGAAATTAGTTTGTTTTGAAATATATGGTGTTAAATGCTAAATAGAGCTTTAATCTAGCCCTTAAATCCATAATAATAGACTGAAGAAATACATAAAACAACACAGACTACAATAGGCTTGACCTTGGATGTGGACCATGAGCTACTGATGTTTATTTCTGGTTTATTCAATTACTGTAGTGCTGCTGCCTCTCTCCTCCACCTGGTCGAATGGATCAATGATTCGCATCGATCTGCACACTCGCATGGCGTCTAATGACTAACTCAAGTCAGTGATGAGAGCACCAATTGGGAGTGAATCTCAAGCTTGGCCTATTTTTAGAAGAATTCTGGAGAGGCTTGGGTAACATGTTGGCTTTGCTACGGTTTATGAGAAATTGTTAAGCCTACGGGATAAATTATTAACAGTGATTGAAAAAAAAAAAATTGGTCCAAAAAAGATCCACTCTATAAACAGAGTATTATCTATTATGGTTTTCTAAGCAGAAAAGAAACAAGAAAAAAGGATTATTACTTTTCTTTGGTTGATTCATACAGTATATAGGGAATAGCCCTATGCTAGATGTTGTCCCATGAGATGAACACATTTTACCTCACAAAATAACAGAATTCCTCAAATGTTGGTCTTTTTAGCGTCATTACTATTTTCACAATTTTCATCTGTAGATATTTTAAATCTCTGGTAAACAGACGGAATCACTCTGAGCCATTAGTTTCATCAACCTCTGAATGCTGGCTCAACTTTTAGTCGCTCGTCTTGAAATCATCCAATCTGATAACTTTATAGATTTTCTTTTTTAGAATCAGGAAAACCACACTTGCAGAAACATGTTTGTAGCCTATGTAAATATTTTATTTTTACATATCTGCAGACTTACATTTTCTTTATCTGAAGTCTTGACTTATTCTCAACCTGTCTAAATCTGTTCCAGACTTGGCATCAACGTAGACTTGACACAGGTAATGTAGCCTAAAGCCCTGGAAGGTTTGTTTCCCAGTATAACAGACACCAATTACATTTTCTAGTGAAGCCGACGGAGAAAACATTCTGAGAAGTTGGCTTAGATAATGCCTCCCTGGTACTTCAGCTGGCTAATGACAGTTTTTGGCTAAATAAGACAATAGGCCTACATATTTTTATATGTGTGTGTATCACCTCTGATTACCATCTTTCACAAAAAAACTCCTCACAATATTATCTTTTAATTAGCTCTTAACCACAGCACCAGTCCAACACTCTTCCATTTTCTGAGGAGATAACTAGAGAGGCAATCAGGCGGGCGAGTCAGCGCGCCGCTGTTAATTACCCACATGCCAATAATGAGGCAGAGTCTCTTATTAGCTCCCTACAATCCAAAGCTTCCCCACACTCCACTGCTTTGCCAGCTCCCCGTGGCCTGCTAAAGAAGATCTGCTTTGAAACAGGAAAGAGGAAGCTTACAGCTTAACTGTTGAAAAAATTAAGCACCTGCAGCAACTGCTAAAGCTGGGTGTCCTTGTGTTGATGGGAGGTAAGTGAAAGTGCTTTCTCTCGCAGCACTTTTTAATAAGACAAGTTGTGAGGAAAACTCAAAGGGCAAACATTTCAGGGCCTGTGATGTTTGCCATTATACAACACAGAGTAAGGTCCAAGAGGAATACAGTTTATTTGTTGCCATCAACAAAACTTGTCACGTCAGTGGATTGTGGTGACTGTTATTCAACTGCCAGACATCAACTCACAAGATAAATGTAATGCCTGAGTTGAAGATGAGCATGGTTACTATAAATCTTAAGAGACAAGTGACTGACCCGTGCAAACGTGAGATTTTGAGCATTCCTATACAAACAGTACACATTCTCCCATCCAATACTTGACGGTGAGAATAAAGAAATCTGACACTGTGTAGGCAGGAGAGGGAATGTCTTGCTGAGCATCAATGCACCAGCATCACAATGAGAGACGGATAATGGAGCAAGGAGGCAAAAGTGGGAGCTGCACAGATGGACAGGGAGGAATGAGAGTCAGCTGACGATACAGATTTCAGCACATTTCTGTAGCACTCACAACAAGGAACATTTCAGCTCTCTGGGGAACAGTATTTCACTGGTCACTGAAACACCACCACGCCTCCAAATGCCCGCTCTGAACTCCATCGCTCCACACCTGCTCCACCTTTCCATGTTTTTTTTATGGAAAGCTGTGGCTGAGTTGGGACACGATGCCATTGTGGCCTGTAAAGCTTCTTGAGACATACAGTATGTGAGGCCGGGAAGGTATTCTCAGGAGGCTTTGCAATGTCCTTCCAACACCCAGAGATATTAGAGGCAAGGCTCAAACTGTATACACAGGATGGCAAATCACAAATGTGTAAAATCATAATGTCTAAAAGGGACATACCACCCAATCAATCAGAAACCGTCCATGAATTACCAACTACTTCATAACCTCACAACAAGCTTACCAATGAGGCTATGAATCATCCAAGACCTGGGATATCTAGAGGCAATAACTACACCACATTACGTATGTTATGTAAAGTAGGGGAATGCGTGCAGGTAGAGATACCTGTCTGAGTTTGAGGTAGAAGGTCTCACTGAAGGTCTTGCGGCTGAAGTACCAGAAGCGCTCGTTTGATGGATAAACCCTGAGCAGAGTTTCCATCAGGAAGCGAACTGGCTCCAGCACCTCAGTGACCACCAGGTCCACTGCCACCGTCATGTACACCTGCTTATCTGGAGAGAAACAGAGAGAGAGAGAAAACAAAAGCCATTTTATTTTTGGGGGATATTATGTGGATAAATATAATTATATTTATTTCAGTGGGTGAAGCCTGTTCGCCAAATGTTTGCAAATGTAAAAAGGTTTTTACAGTGTAGTGTATATGATAAACAGCTGTAAGTACAACACAGCTCTCATTGTTAATGAGAGCTGTGTTGTAATGAATTGTCCAAAAGCTGACATACAATGATGAGTCTGAACCAACCTTTATTACCTATGTCAATGTAGTGTACAATTTGTTTAATTTTAAGAACTAGTCAAATCTAACTTTACAGTTAAAAATAAATCTATAAATGTAGATACTATGTGTTTAGCTTTTCATCGCCTATGGTGGCAGGAAGTGCATACTATGTATCCTGTGGAGATGCCACACCCCCTGGTGGATAAGGAAATAACTCAAATGTCTTCAACTCAAGAAATGACGACTATAAATGTATTCTTTTAGGTGGGAAAGTTAAACCTTGGGGCTTGAACTTGTGCTAATACTTAGTACTGAGGATTTATCTTTATAAATATAATACAGAGGTGTAAGCCTCAAACTAACTAATCACAATGCTTATGACCTTTGGACAGTTTAATTATAAGGTGAGAATAAATAAAAGGAAAAAAGACAGAAGTGCTGGCAAAGTTATCTCCAAGTAGGGAGGATTTATTATTGTAATAAACTTGCAGAAGGCAACAAATTAACTACCACCATCTTTATTTAAAGATATTCTTTTGGCCTTTAATTGATAGAAGAGCTACAGAGGATAAGGTGGAGGGGGGATGCAGCAAACAGCCAGCATATAAATTGCAATTATGATAATGTGAAGCTGTGTGTGTGTGTGTGTGTGTGTGTGTGTGTGTGTGTGTGTGTGTGTGTGTGTGTGTGTGTGTGTGTGTGTGTGTGTGTGTATGTTTTATACTGTCAGACTCCCATGAGGAAGGCTGCTCTGACAGACCTGCCATCTACCTTCAAGTCAAATTCTCAGAGCTTTTGAGTCAGCAAGTTGCCAAGTGGTCTAGTTTGTTAGCTGTAATGGATTTGGCAATGCAAGCGCCTGCATACACTCTGAACACACATACATGCTTCCCTTTTAAAATACAATAAAATTGGTCCCTCTTCTCAGGTACAGTACATGAGGATATTGAACAAACTCAAATATGAATTTCTGAACACATTCTGATTCACGATCACACATTTCAGGCAGCTGTTTAAGTTTGACTTTAATAGCCATATTAAGGTTTAACACAATGGTTTAATGAATTTGGGGTATGAGAGAAAAAGTCAGAATAGCAATACAAGAGGAAACAAGATAAATATGCCAATTGGGATTAGATGGAATGAAATAAAAGTATAGAATACAACATGTAGCACTGTATACATACAAGAACATTGATTGTCTTTTAGTGCAGAAATAGAAAATACCCAATACAGTTATGTAAACATATTTTGTGTACCTACTTCATGAATCTTCAATTTGATGTTCTTTTGTTTTTTTTAAATGTATGTTCTAGAAGTAAATATACGTAATACAGAAGACATAATAAATAAACCCTCCCTCTTTCTCTAACTTAATGAAAGCAAAGCAAAGAGCCTTTATAGGAAGGACATGTTTTAACCTCAATTATCTGCATACAGTAGCTTAAATGCTAGCAAAGACTTAAAAGTGATTTGCATAAAATTAATCTCCTAAAATGTTGCTTTCAATTGCTTATAGCCAAATCTCTTTTGGCTTTGCTGACTAACAAGATGTGATCACACTTAAATGTGCGAAAATGTGCCAGGCCTGGACAAGTAATGGGTCACAAGGACAGGTCCTTCTCTAGCATAACATTATCACATCGAGGCTCCAATGCAAGCACTGCATCATTTTTAGACATGACCTTGAGCTTTGTGCAGTCCCACATCACATTTGTGACAAATGGAAATAATGTTATACTTCATATGTGTGTATGCACAACCGGTACACAGGCACATGCTGGTCTCAATTAACACAGATCATAAATGTAGCAAAAGCTTGTGGACAAGGACTCAAAAAGCTAGACATGTCTGCTACAGTATGTGCACTAAATTGTATTAAGGAAGGAAACTGTAAATTGAATTGAAAACAATTGACAAACTTGGAAACATTTTACCAGGTTATCTTGACGCATAGTTTGGTCAATAATATACAACTACTGTATATACAAGCAAACGTGTAGTTTTTTACAGCTATCTCGGTTTTAAATCAAAATATAATATGCGTGTGAAACAACATTTATGGGGACAAAAGGTCGCCTCACCTTTAGGGGTGTCTTCGTTCAGCGGCTGGAAGGCTGCCATGTTTGGGTTCCATGTTCCTGTGATCACATAGGCCTTCCCATCAGAGCTCTTCCCCATCGACTCCTGTATAGGTATTAATACATGGAATAGTTAAAAAAAATAAAAACTCAACTTTTAGTACAATTTCAAATGTAAAATATCAATACAGGTAGATATTATATTGTAGAAAGGCACATTTATCAGCTTCACAAATATATACTAGGACAAACAAAACTGAGAAAAACAGAGCACAGTAATAATAACTGGCTGAATATAGCATTAACCTGGCTATTGACTCTGGTTGTGCTTATTTAGGTCTAACAAATGAAAGGTCTGGTTAAACAAGCTAAGGTGGGTTGAGCTCACCATGTCTAGTAGATGCATGTCACTGTTGCATACTTTCTGTCCTGGACTCAGCAGCATCCCAAAACACCTAGAGCGAAGACACAAGAGATAAAAAACACAAATCAATAATCACAAATGTCTCTGCTGAGGTACAGTCTGGATTCACCAGCAGAGGGGATCACAGTAGTTGGGTGTGACTGAACTACAATCATAAATATTTTACTGTTGATGCGTTATGAACTTTCAAGCATCAAGCAGACAATCTGACAATAACTGTAAGAGCCTGAACTTTGCATTGCACAATTTAAAAAAAAGTAATACATATATTTTAGCCACAGTTTTAAAATATCTTGATGACCTGTGTAGCATGTTTAAGCCGATTCAGGGTGATACAAGATCAACTCTCCCTGCCTCTTCTGGCTTTGCCCCTCACATAGAATAGGGAAGCATGGACGCACAGGAAGTTAAAAATAGAGAGGAAAACCGGTACAGGCAAACTTCTAAAACACATATCTGAGGTCTTGCACTATACTGAAGCAGCATTGCATGTGTTGTTTGCAATTCATCATAACATCCTAATCACTTTGCTATAGTTAAGTCCCTTCAGCTTTAGGTGGAGGTGCCATCCAGTGGTCAGCATGGGAACATCCCAATTCAGAAATGCATTATATAAGAACATAAGAATAACTTATCTCAGCTCTTAATGAGGTGTGTTAATACTGGGCTTAAAAATATAAAGGCTGAGTGTCATGCAGAGTGATTTTTCAAAAGGTTTTGCGTGTTTGTATAGAAAGATTTCCTTTCTTTAAACAAAGTGTCCCAGGGTTAAAATAGAACTTATTGCATCTATACACATGATGCCAAATCATAGAACATTTCAAAGGAATTAACCATCAACACAGAGGCTATAACACAAAGTATAAAATAAAGTGTTGTCAAACATGTGCCTAGCCCCTCAGAAAGGAATCAGTCCTGAACACAATAGAGGTTTCCATTGGCACTAAAAAAATAAAGGAGAGGGCAGGTGTCTCCCTCTGATAGCGATAGGAGGTGAGGGAATGAAGAAGAAAGGAGGGGAGTGTTAACTGACCCACTTCTTTGTTGCTGCCTGCTAGAGCACGTAGAGCCATACTACAAATGGGAGAGATTGCAGGAAGTGGGAAATGTTACAGTAGTATTCCTCTGTTGGACGTTTGTTTTAAATCATGCTCTATTTGTCCTTGTTGTTTTTCCTCTGCAATATTTTACCAACAAGTATGTGCACTCACTGTCCTTATTAAAAGAAAGCTAATCTGGTGGTTTAATCTGGAAAGTCATAATATAACAAGGCATAATATTTTGTATGGCTTAGAAAGAAGTTCCAAACTTTTGAAAAGCTAACCCCTCTGGGAAGATGTGTGAGGAATAAATGCGGTGCAAGACGTGCCGATCCATAACAAAGAACAGCCAGTGGAAGGTTCTTACTGCAGGCCCTCGTCACGCATCACCTCTCTTACAGGGATCCTCACCTCTCGATGCCCAGCTCCTTGTTGCACATTTGCTGAACTGAAACCACGACCTTCTTCTGAATGCTCTGTCGCAGCTTAAAGTAGAATTTATCTCTGTCCTTTGGCACAGGACTGTGGATAGGAAAAAAGGAGGTTATTATATATAACCTTTAGGACTTTGGTGTAATTCAAATGTTGTCAAATGTAAGTGTACTGTGGTGTTCTTTATTGTGATTCTTAAGTGTATTTCCATATACCTTGTTCCATGTTATTGTTCTCTCTGTCTTAATGCCAGTGTCTTTGATACTTTGTCATTATCTTAGTATAACTATCCCAGTTAAATATAAAATAAAACATTTATTTTCTCAAGTCTTCTGAGTTTATCACATTTTACAGGTTGTGTCGTTTCAGAAAAGTTACCGGCCGTTTTATTTCAGAAGAAAACAGAACAAAGAAAATCCATCACTAAAACACTCAATATTTGATAGCTAGTGAAAATGTAAAAATTATCTTGCTGTGCCATTAAGTTTTATGCATTTTGAGGATGAACAATATCATTCAGATAAAATAGTAGAGCTGCAGCACATTACAGTTTTCCACATATTGAGATATCTGTGATACCAACAGTCCTGAGCTGATAAGAAACACACACACAAAATGCATTTATGTACACGTCGTACCATCATTCTTCTTTCATAAAACGGAGTTTGATTCTCATGCAGTTTGATATAATATATGATATGATATAAGATGTGAAGATAATATTTGTTTTTGTACATGTACACAACCATTATAGTCTGAGACACCTACGTAAAGTAATAAATGGGTGTGTATCTGCACATGTATGTGAGGATATGTGGACCAGGTACCTGAAGTTGCCCTTGCCATCGTCCTCTTTGATCTCCAGGGTGACAGTGAAGGTGTAGAGGTCGCCTTCAGGCGGGCCGGAGAGCGCCGTGTCCCTGATGTCTGCCGGCCGCGCAGAACGCCGGAAGGCTGTGGAGAAACTGTACAGGATACGACTGACCTGTTGGAAAAGCAAAAGAAACACAAAAGTTTGTAGGCAAGAGACAGGTAAGTTCACTGAAAAGATTAAACAGTGACTTTAATTTAATGTCATATGTCAACAGGTTCCACATAATTGTATTAGGTTAGTTTAAAGCAATAGTATGAAGTTGAAACTTTAGTTTTTTTATTTAGACTTAATATTATTGCTTTCAATTAACCTAATACAATTATGTGCTATCTGTTTACATTTTTCTAAGTGTACGATAGATTTGGAATTTTAAAAAAGTAATTGTAAAGAAAATATTTACAAATCTGAATGGAACTGATACATTTAAATGTTAAATTAGTAAATAGAATAAAAAGACCAGAACTGGACAATTTAATACTGAAAAAAGTGCAATAGAACTGGGTATCATTGAGAAAACACAAGACAACAGCGCCCTCAGCTGGTTCACCAGTGTCAGCACTTATAGGGCTGTGGTAGTAATACAGCCTCACCGTTTTTTACATCAATATAAAGCGCACATGCTGTCAGGTCTACTATACTGCAAGTTATAACAGAAGATATCTATGTTTGATATCTCTAGAGCCTTTTATTAATGCAACTAACTCACGGCCTCTTTGATGTGGCAGGAGAAGACATGGATCTGGAAGTCCTCAGCGCTCCGGTAACTCTCAGTGAAGGAGAAACAGTCACTTTCCACAGAACCTTCTTTTCCACGGGCACAAAACAACACCTTGTAGATTGGAAATACGGCGATCTCTGTTCCCGAGGCCTGGTCCACAACCCTGAGAAAAAGTAATGTTATTTTAAGTGCAGCAGTCTAACGTTAACAGCAAAATATCTTATTATGTAAATGAATTGCTTTCTTTCCAACAACATTTTATTATTACCTCGTTTATTTTTCAATTTACAGATTACTTTTTCTTTACTTAGGTTACATGACAACCCAGAGCAGTTATCTCAACATTAAAACGTCTAAGATGTTGTTTATATACAAGGTCTGAGATACTTCACACCACCATGTTACCATAAGTTATTTACAATAATCTTCTACCTCAATAAATGTCATTCAACTTTATATTTATCCCAGCTTCTATTCATTCAGAAAGTAAGGCAATCAGGTCACTCTCGTCTACTTGAGCGGAAATGTCAGTACTTTCAGTGTGGTAAAAAAAAAAAGCCTTCAGTTTTCATTTTATGACTCAGGATGGTTACAAAAACTAATTTCCTCTCCAACTGTACTTCTTCTGCGGGCTAACAGTCTTTGAGATGAGGGGCCCCTTTAATAGCCACATCATTCAAAGTAAATTCTCTGTAAACCTATTTACGTTCACCTATTATAATGTGGCTGTAATACAGTTATACCAGGTTACTGTGATAAACATGAACAACTACACATTTTAATGGAATATCTAACCCCAAAGTGATTATATGTGAAATAGTTTTTCTGCCCGTGTTTATTTGCTCTCACAAGATGTGCTTTCTCTTAAAGGTAGGGTAGGTAAGTTTGAGAAACCGGCTCGAGATCGCTAGAATTTGAAAATACACAACCGGAGAAAATCTGCCACTTCCTTATAGAGCCCCTCCTCCAACACACACGAACGCGCACATGACCAATGAGGGCATGAGATAAGTTTGTGCACAGATGGAAGGCTGACAGGCAGGTAGGCCATCCAGTTATTTTAGCCGGGCCGGCTAAAATGATGGTCGTACTTTTTACAGTATTACAGCTTCCATAGATGACATTTTTTAATGGATTTTTTGTCAAAGCACTTAAGATATTCATTGCTATCGGGATGTTAAGAGCATTCCATGGAATATAACAAAAAGTGTATCTCGAGCCGGTTTCTCAAACTTACCTACCCCACCTTTAAAGGCCTCCTATTATGCTATTTTTAGGCATATATTATGGGTCTCAGTATATACAAATATATAAAAACATGTCTATGATGTGTTTTGCTCAAAATACCAAACAGATCATGCATTTTAGACATCCCTCATATCCCTCTATTCCAGCCCCGTTAGAGTAATGCAGATTTTTGGTCCTTAGCTTGAAAAAAAATAAAAGAGGAGGCGGAACTAATGCCTGCTCAGAATTCTACCGGCAGATGCAGCTAAATGCTGCCGTGATTAAACGCCATCATGTTCCAAACCACTTCAAGGATTATTTCTGAAACAGTATGGAGCTCAAATGCTTTTTCTCTTGCCAATTTACCACAAGGTGAGTTCCTTTTGTTATTTCCTGCTTTTTACACATGCTCTCTCCAGTACAGGTTAGCTCTGAGTGTTAGCGATGCTTGCCAATGTAAACAAAGACCATATTACATCCAAAACACGTCGCGCATTGTTTCCGATAGCAACGTTTCTGATAGTGTGAAGCCACACTCGCCACACATTCGGTGTGAAGCCAGCCCACATTTCCGATATTACGTAAATCTGGATCAGCTCCGTTGTACCCCCGTTTTTAGAGATTTGGGTACGGAGTAAAAAAGAGAGAGGGTTTTGTTATCTGACACTTTGTGAGTTCCCTGACACACCGGGGACACATATTTATGTATACAAGACATAAAAAAGTGCATTTTGCATGATAGGTCCCCTTTAAAATCAAGGCTTTTTGTTCACAAATTCAAGGTTATATGGGGTTTCGAGGGGTTAAGTACTCCTTTAACAAACTGTTCTACATTTGTTTCATCAAAGCCTGGTTTAAATATACCCAGGTCTCAACACACACAGTCTCTGTCTCAGTGTCTGGCTGACCTGACGGAGCCGTCGGGGCCACAGGGCACGTGCAGTGTGATGGGGATGGGGATGGCGCTCTCGGCCCGCAGGGTGGCCATGGCCCTCTGCGCCTCGGCCTCGTTGCGGGGGGCTTTGACCCAGGTGCAGCCAAGGTAAGACAGCTTGTTGAACTGAACACTGTCCTCCTCTAGCACTGTGGGGCTGGATGGTGCTGGACATGTTTCTGTAGACAGAAAGATTTAGGTTGCGTTGTTATTTGTTTTTTCTTGAGATCTCTGTTCTTATTTTAAGCAAAACAGATGTTTGCTTCTCTATTTTCTGGCAAACTTTTAACCAAATTTGTATCAAGATAATGCAACAGTTGTATCATCAGGGTAGACAATAATATTTCACATTTGTCTGGTATGCCGTTAAACCATCATGAGATACCTTTTCCACATCCTGTAGCTCTACAGAACGCTGCATTTTGCAAGTGTGAAACAAAACCACAAAAACCCAACTGAGAAGAAGTGAATAGCAGTACGTGAGAGAACTTCTACGGAGGTTTTGGAGTCTTCTTTAAATTTCTTTAAACAGGAAGTAGAACAATGAGAGCAGCAGCTGGACTTCCACTGCTGACTGGCTATTATTCTACACAATGCTAACCATTTCCTCTTAGTGTACTCAGCAGTAGTAAAGCACACAACCACTTTTACAGTATGTGACTGCAAGTACACAAATACGATGTGTAGTCCCAATGTTTTTATTTTTTTTATTTAACCAGATAAAAAAAGCATTGAGATAAAATGTCATTTTCAATGCTGACCTGGCCAAGAAGGCAGCAACGTTACACATAACACATAACACAAACATATAAAATACAGAGAACATAACTAAGAAAACAAAAGACGAAAAAGCAGTCACTACATTGTGCACATTAGGACAGTAAGAAAGGTGCACTACTTGTTACTGCAAGAGCAGCTGGTGGTAAGGACTTCAGACAACTTCAATTTAAAACATGCTATTGAGACAAGTGGCGTCAATTTGAGGCGTGATTGAAGGTCATTCCAAGACCAAGGACCATAATAAAAAAAGACTCCTTTTTCCAGCCTCAGTCCGCACAGCAGGTACCTGGAACCGTATCCAGGCACTGGGTCTGAGGTTGTAAGAGTCACAAACTGGGGCAAATCTGGCACATATGTACAGTGGAAGCTTACCTAAAATGGCTTTATACATTAACAAAAAGAAAACCAATGATGCATCCTACTCATAGTAAGTGAGGACCATCCAGTTAGGCTATACAGTTTGCAATGATGAGTCCTATAGGGAGCATTTGATATATAACGCAGTGCAGCATGGTAGAGTGGGTCAAGTTTGGCCAAAACAGTGGGACAGGCAAATCTAATGTGTTTTTATTCATTTTTTTAATTACAATTACAATGTATCTGCTGAATTGAAAAATATATATATGTTTAACTCTGGTAGTGCTTATGCCTTGCACCTGCAAAAAAAAAAGAATGTGCGGTATATTGTCGACCATGTCATGTTGATTTTGCCTTCTTGTTTGTAGAGCCGTCAGGGCCAACCTGTCCTTGCTGATATACAGAACATTTAAGCCAATGTCAGAGGGTTCAGATATCAGCCTTGCTAATCTGCTATATTTTAATATATAAATGCAGTGCAGACGGCACATAGCTTGGACTTCAACATTTGTGCACATTGTTATTTCCACTTAAATGTCAGTGCAAATTAATTATAATTACGTATACTTCTCTAAAACAAAAAAAGCCCATATCCATAATAACTTAGACTGACGACAATAACAAAAAGAACAGTTTTAGTTTTTTAGTTTAGTTTTTAAATTAACAAATGGATTTGGGAAATGTTCAGCCATATTGTGAATACAAGTAAGACTAAACTCAATCTGCTGCTTTTGACAGTGATATCTCACAGAAAGGACATGAACTAATAACGTTACAGTTTATATTCCCATTGAGATGCCTGAGCAAGAATAGTTGACTGACAGATTGTAATCACCTGTGAGTAGACACACTGATCGTAAATAGACCTCTACCTGCAGGTTGGGGCTCCAGGACTTGGCTCTCTGGGTCCTTGTGCTTCTCCATCTTTTCCACATTGCTCTTTTCCACCTTCACCTCATCATCATCGTCATCCAACACATCCTCCATAGCTCTCACGAGCTGCTCACTCCCATTCCAAGACATCTAAGAGAGAGAGTGGGAGAGAAAAATTAAGCTGGGGATGAGAAAAGGATGGATTAAACCTGGTGGAGAAGATAAGGACACAGTAGAGCTTCCTGGACTGAGTCAGCACTTGTCAATGACCTTGTTTTCATTGGCTTTTAGCATGTTTTCATGGGCTGTTTTACCACCACGCTGCACCTTTTACAACCCTTTACAGCTGCAAGTCTGACCAGCGTGTTGTATGAGGGATGAATATTACATATTACAGCCTGTGTGTTAACAGTTTGTCCACGAGCAGTTCTGACCTTGAGTCTTGGTTTGCCCTCGGAGCCTTGCGGTGACCCGGCGACACCGGGCTGTACCAGAACAAACTCCTCGCTGGTGACGGTGGCCACGGACTCTGTGGAGCTGCTGACTTTTCCAAGAGAGGACCGGTCATCCATAGCTGGCTGGTTTACTCAGGGTCAGCTGGGGAGACCAGAGGTAAAGCTCTCCCCTTCCCTCTCCTGTCTACCCAGCTCTGTGGGAATACACACAGATTGCATTAGACAATTTAGGAGGTGTTTTCTTGGTATTTATGCTGAAATAAAATAAAATGCTTTAGCAACAAGTGGATAAGAGTGAGGTGGTGGACGCCAATGTTATCCATGAAACTTACACAATAATAGAGTTACAAGATCTCTATACACACACACAAAGTGGGCATGTCCACTTAGGAGCTATTCAACTAATAGAACAGGAATAATTAGATCACATGTACCGTGTGCGGTGTTGTCACTGTGATGTACAATGCCAAACCACAACACACCCATTCAGTAGTACTCACACAGAAAGGCACTACCTGAACAACTCCCTGGTTTTGTGGGCTCTACTTTAAGGTTATGAGTCCGAGACAAAGTTATTAAAGGTCCCATGTCATGCTTTTCCGGTTATTACCCATCCCCTTGTGTGTTATGTAGATTTTTCTGCATGTAAACGGTCTGCAAAGTCACAAACCCTCAAAGTACACCCTGTAGCGAGTAAAACTCTAACACAGAAAAGACATGTCTATGCTGCCCCAGAACGCCTCGTTGGAGATTTTCTTTTTTCTTGATGGGTACAGTGACGTGACCATACCCAAATGGACTCATTGGTCCAAATGGACCAATCCGTGGAGCTCCTCACACACACACACACACACACACACACACTCACACTCTCTCAGCAGCGAAACTGTGACGCGCTGGGGGGGTGCTAGTGGAGCCTCGCAGCGGCGAAACTGTGGCGCGCTTACACTGTAGGTACGCCGCGTTTGGGGGTGAGGGTGCTAGTGGAGCCTCGCAGATGGGGGTGCTGCAGCCCCCTCAGTACCCCCCCTTCCCGCGTCCATGGTGCTCAGGCTGAGTTCAGGCTGAGTTTCGCGATGTCTCGCTGTCTCGCTGTCTCGCAGACCCCACGCAGCAACCAGGAAACGACACCAGTGTTGCGGCTTTCACTTTCTAGCTCCTCGCGAGAGCTTTTCTGGTTCAGCTCCCGTTTCCCTTTTCAGCTCCTGCTCTGTTCACACTGCCCAGAGCTGCCGCTGCTGCGTCATGACGTCACAGTTTACGTCGCTGATTTTCTCCCACAACAACAACGGGCCGGGGACTGCATCGGGTCGTGTTGCTTTTAATCATACGAAGCCAGATTACATTAAATTAAATAACGACTTCTCCAACCTTATACTTTTCTCCAGAGTGCCGTGGTTCATTGTTTATTAATGTGTTTCAGCGGCATTTACCGACCGCTGCAGTGCTGGCTGCTCTTCCACGGGAGTTTATTGTCCCGTTAGCTCCGGGTTAGCTCACACGGCTCTAAAGTATTCACTGTCTGACTGTCACACAAGCAGCTGATACATATCCCCAGTTCCCCTTAAGTGAATGTGTGTCAGTCTGAATTGACGCTGTTTGGCATCACAACGCTGTTATGAAAGTTTCTCTGGTATAACATGGGTGATGTTAGCATAGCAACCGAAGCTAAACTGACTACTTGCTAAGCCGTTTTCTATAGGCACATTTTACCGGCGTATTTTTCATTATGATTCTACTTCTGATAGTCGGACATGACAACCTGTATAGCCCATGTATCTCCACAATGATCAATAACAGCGAACGGATGGTCAAAGTAAGGTTTCCTGCACGCCTCGACGTAAGAGACGTAAGCGACGCCGCGTCATAGCTCCGAAGCTCTTGCCTCTGGACCGACAATATTTTGGAGCTGGAAGTGAACCGCATTCCGGAGCTATGACGCGCCGCCGCTGCGGTGTGAACAGGAAAAACCGGCGCTTTTCAGGCTCTAGCTCCCAGCAGGAGCTGGAAAAGCGCCGGTGTGAAAGGGGTATAATAGAGCTCACACTGTCCGCTCCTCGCAGCAGCGAGCCGCGCAACCTCCCGCCAACACGGCACCCAGACCCCACGCAGCATTCTCATCCGTTTGTCATTACTGGTGTCATTTTCTGGTTGCTAACGCCATTGTAACACATAATCACTGATGTTCCGCTGTAACTAGGGATGTCCCGATCACCTTTTTTTGCTCCCGATCCAATTCCGATCATTTGATTTTGACAATCTGCCGATACCGATTTTTCCCGATCCGATCTTTATGCAATGCATTAAGAGAAAAAAAAGGAGAAAAGCATTCAAGTTGTCCCTTAAACCCCACGTTCTCCACCACAGATAACGGCTGGTCATCCAACGCGATGAATTCAGCTATCTTGGCTGTTATTTTTTTGGCCTTTTCACTGTTCTGGGGCAGTTTCTCTTTCCTTTTAAAAGTCTCTGAAAGTGTCGGTTGTTTCAGTGCCGTTACCTGAGTGGCCGCTGTGTACTCGTTGTGTTGTTGTTGGTGTTTGTTTCTCAGGTGGCGTATTAGATTGGTCGTGTTGAACGTAGCTCTGTTCTTTCCACCACGCGGAACCTCCGCCTTGCAAACATTGCATCTGGCTGTTACACTGCCTTCGCTTTCAATTTTATAATACTTCCAAACTCCTGACATTTTCTCTGTCCCGACTCCCGAGTCACCAGCTGAACGTAGCCTCTCGTTAGCTTACTGCTACTATTAGACACTGCGCCCTGCCCACTCTGTTGCCAAATTTGAGAGAAATAAGCAACCAGGTCTATGAAAACAAGCCCAAAAGAAGCAACACATACATGATGTTGTGTAATTTTAAACCAAAACTAAGGCCTCAGGATGACTTTAAGACGTGAACATGGTCATTTTTGTTTTGTAACATTAAATAAAATAAAAATATTTTATAAAAAAAAAAAAAAAAAATCCCGATCCCCGATTTTTTTCTCCCGATTCCGTACTTTTGAAAATCACGTGATCGGCTCCGATCCCCGATCACGTGATCGGATCGGGACATCTCTAGCTGTAACGGTGGTGGACTCATCAGAACAGAGTGGGCGAGCTGACCAATCAGAGCACAGTGGGCTCACAGGGAGGGGGGGGGGGGGGGGCAGGAGTTCCAACAAGCCGTTTAGGACAGAGAGTGAATACACATACTATACAGAGATGCTGTATGAGAAACCAATGTGAGTTTGGAACATTGAACAATGTAAATCTATTCTAGTATACCTCAACAATGGAATTATGATCAGTAGAAATGGCCATGACATGGGACCTTTAAGACCCTCTATTCCTCAAAGATAAGAGCCCAAAAAAAGTGAGCATATTTTCTAAACCTAACCGGCAATCTGTTGAAAAGTATTCAGTAATTTGAGTGCAGTCAGTGTCTTCCACATCACTCTGCTACAATATTTAGCAGCTGTCTGTCACAGACGCGCAGGCCCAATAGTCTGGCAGACACATTACTGTATGGTTCAATATTCAAATGTTCATAATAAATGCTATGAACATTAGAGAAGTGTAATATGTGCTGTAGTATCCTGCCACCAGCAGCTGGTTTTAGTTAAACATACTGTTGCTAAGCAGCCACTGTCTGTACAGTTATTTAACTGATATGTTTGGCTTCACTACTCACAGTAGATACATCTGTTACCATTCACATATCTACAAGCCTTGTCACACTAGCTAAATGCCTTTGTTGAACCATTATCTGTAAGAACCTTTTTTATAATAGTTGTTAGGAATCACTAACCATCTGAGTTTATATTTGCTAGCACAGCACCAACATACACGCACTGACAACATCTGTCTGCACATCTGTATCAGCACAGTGCCTCTACATGTTACATCCTGCTGAATCATGAGTTGGACTACAGCACAGACAAACATGTCATCATGCAACGCTGCTTGATACCTGGCTGTAAGAAAGTAAGCATAAATAAAACACACATATAATTAAGAACTTTTTTTGTAATCGCTCTGAAGTACTGCACTGGGTTTTCTCAGCTATGCTTAAGTTCATTGACGTCATGTTTTTTCCTATTCTCTAATACGTTATAAGCTAGAGGGTTCAATATAATAGGGTTTTATATTCAGTGTTTATTATGATGCCGTGAAGAACGATGCAAACACAACCAAACACACAAAGGTGAGAACAAAAGCATGAAGGGGCATTCATTCACACTCAGTGACATGATTACATACAAAAGGCCTTCATACACACTTAACTCGAGCAAATTATGCACACTGCACACCCAAATAGACATATATGAGGAAGGCAGCAGGGTCATGTGCTCCAATCACACTTTTTCAATTACACAGAGCAGCGTGAAGCAGAAAGGGAACACTCAACTGATTCACTTATGAAGACGGGCAGTGAAAAGAATACTACAGTTTGTTGTTTGGAGCTAAAGTCTTTATTTGCTCTATTGGATCACAATGTCTCTTTTTCTAAAGTCAGACTGGATCTGAAGCATGATATGAACAGCAGCCAAACTCAACTGGCTATTAATCATAATTACTTAATGTTGACTATGCAATAACAGAACATCCCATAATCTCCCTCTCACACACAAACAAACATCCATGCAGGTACCGGAAGATGTTGTAACGTGGTTTTCTGTCAAGAATAAATAAAGGGTATACTGAATGTGACTGTTTTATCCACTACAGACTCATTTAGATGGAATCCGTAAAGTGCCAGTTGATCATTTTAAATGTGGTTATTCCACACAGATTTATCCAGATTACATCGTTTCTAAATTGTCTCACTTTTGCTGGCCTTGTTTGGCCGAACAGTCACTTTGTTTTTGGCAGAAACTCGCACTTTAACGTTTGCACCCAGTCATTACCAGCCTGCCTATCCAGTAAAGTCCCAGTTGGCAGCCTTGCTACCCAACCCAGGGCTGGACGGAAACTGTGAGTGTCCGGCGCTGCAGACAGGCTGAACAACTCCCACAGGCACCGGGCCCTACACACACGTGATGTCTGTGAGGGAGTTAAGTGATTTTCTATGGGTCGATTTAGCTAAGGCTGCATAATAAATTGTAATTTATTCATATCACTATATCTACACATTGCTATTGACTGGGATCTTGTGGCCATTGAGTGAGTTAAAAGAGAGTATCAATAAATATATGCACTTTTAAATGAATTAAATGACACTTCACAGGAAGTTTGAGGCAAATGTGAGTTGGCTGGCTGTTTCTTTTGTTTTAAGATAATGATGGCCAAAATGTCTGATTTTAGGTTGGATAACAACATGGTATTAATCCCCACTGAAAAATGAATTTGCCACCAAATCAACTCATACAGTACACAAACAGTAAAGGCAATACATTCACACTACTACTCAACAAATACACATACACAGTGCAACAATGCCCAAACTGCTGACTGCATCTGTACTGCCTCTTTGATAATGGAGCATAAGCACACTGAACAGACCTGTTGAATAGGTATACATAATAATAACATTGTTAGGGTTGGGCTGTTTACAATAACTTGTCAGTATTAACTTGTAATGTATCCTTGTTAAACATTATTTGGTCTTGTCATTTTTTTATTTTTTTACCCTGTTACCTACTGAAATGTGTTATTACTGCCAATCTTAACAATGATGTCTGGACAAGTTACCCCATACTGGGATCAGGGTGTGACAATTACTGTCAGTGTTGCCAATTAATTTCCCTGTATGCATCATGTTCTGGAATCCCTTCTGTAGAAAAGCATCCACCACACATCTTGTAGCCTCAGTCCGTCCTAACGTGAACGAGAATGAGCCAGGTGATGTTTAACTTAAACAGTTCTCTTGTGCTACCAAGATCTGAAACCTGATCTAAGGCTTATTTAGGCGCCCAACACAGTAGCTGCTTTCACACCTTACACCGGACTTTGAATCACTTCCTGTTATGGATGATGCTAAAGCCATTCCAGTTATTTTCATATTCAAATGTGATGAATACCTGGTTTCGACCTCAACTATTGAGATAAACTTGTGTTACACACTTCAAAACAGCAGCAGCACAACACTGTATTCAAGTCTATCAATAGACGAGGAAATTCTGAAAATGTGAATTATCAATGGGTAATGGACACTTCTTAATTCCTGATATACTGGTTAGTTCTGTGGCTGGTTGTGTCATACTACTCATTATCAGATACATACTTTATGACAACAAAACACTCCATCAAGACACACCACAAAAGGACACTTTGGTTTAGAGCCAATGCTAAAGCCTGGCCTTCATCTGACTTGTACCAGTGTATTCCTGTTTGTTTATATTACTACAATGATCTACAGCCTGTCGTGAAGCTCTGAAGTTTTCTAGTGCTCTTAATTATTACCAGTATTTCTCCTTGCCACTTTAAACGGCAGCAGTTCATATCCCAATACTTCATACATTCATTAAAATATCCATCCCACTAAGGTAATGTCTCCAAATGCCCACCAAATGTTATATCAGGTACTTCACTTACTAAATATTGTTAATACCAGCTCAATGTTGCCCTTTTAATGAGTAACTCTACTCTTATAGGGCTAAATTAACTTCAAACAAACTGTTAAATAACCCATTTCAAGGTCATAAACAGATTTATATTTGTATTAATATCACCCAGCCCTGCTTTAGTTATGGGTTATGAAATGTTAACTCTCAAGTCTCTCCTTTAGTTGAACATCAATGACACAGATGATGTAATCCAAAGACACATCCTGAAGCTTATGATCAAACAGGGAACAAACGCTATGGCACCATGACATCAGTTGCAATAATGTGATTGAGGTATGGCTAGTTCCTACTACACACCTTGAGCCCTAAACGCCAACAAGTTTAAAAACGGTGGGGTATTGTTCTAATTATTTCTTAATTAAACCATATTCTGTGTACATCCCTAATTTCCAAAAACAGTTACCTGATTTAGAAATTCATAATGTTTGTTAAAAAAAATAAAAATGTTCAGAGACCTAATGAAATATAGACTTTATCTGTGTTCGTGTAGATGCTTTCAATAATTACTGCAGTAAAGTGTTACTGCTGCTATCATTTGTGTCTGCAGGCCTGGATGGAGCACATCACAAACCCTCACAACATTAGCAGTAAGCTAGTTTTATATGGCAGCTTTTCTATTTCGAAAGGACATCTAGCAGTTGAATTAAATGTACAGAATACTCGTCAAGCGGACAGGTTGAAATCACAACAGCTAGCTGATACAAACTACAAACACAGGCATGCAGTAGACAAGCAAAGCAATTCAGCTAGCGGAAAGCTAACTTATCAGTTCAGTCACAGCAGTCTTTATCCAATAACGTAATGACAGCAACAACATTGGTTAGTCACGAGCCGACCTGTAGACGCGGGGCTATCTGCCAGCCCAGGTGAATGCAGGCTAAACAGGAAGTACCAATGTGTACCAGGCTGCGAGCTAAAGCTAAGTTTGGCTGATGCTAACTAGCTCGAAGTCCAAAACAGTCGGACCTCTATCTGGAGGAGCGAGCTCACTCAGCAACACCCCGCCCCACTCCGGAGGAAAAATGAAGAGAAAGAAGAAGGAAAACAACATTTCTCATCTCACTGAAGGCTAACGGGAGACTAGAACGAACACAGGTGTTGAGAAAATAGCTGTCAACTTACTTGTTAGGAGCGTAGAGGAGTTGGTTGCTAGTAGTAGTAGCTGTCAGAAGAGTTGCAGCGAAGATCGTATATGTCAAACAAGATGAATCACTCGGGAGTTCAGTGACACGCCTTCCGGTTTGGAATGTGATTCACGCATGCGCTGTGAGTCTGGCACCAACCTTACATATTTTTACAGGGCAATATTTCTATTTTGGACTTTAACATTTCCCATTTGCTATATAGTTGTATACACATTCACATTTCTTGTTGTATAATTCCATTGGAAAAATTCATATGAATACAGTGAGACATCTATTTAGGCTTGTATTTTACACAGAAGAGCTAAAGTATGCATTGGCTCTGTTGATTTACATCTGTCTCTTATTCAAATTGGATCTGACAGCTGCATGAGAGCCACAGTATCAAGGCTTACACTTTACAATGAAGGATTCCTTTTGAAAAAACCATAGGATAAGTGAATGTTTTGCTCTGATAAATAGTTTTAGCATCTGATGGTGGTTGTTTGCCGCATGACAATCATAAGCTCAATGTCAAAGTTCATGCTGTCTCCAGAGCTCATGGTTAGTTATGGTAAGGGTTTGCATTTATATAGTGCTTTTCTAGTAAACATTTAGCAATTCAACTACACCCAATTAACTTTATGATAAAACTGTGGATGTGATATTAATTGGACATAACGTGTATGTATGTGCCTTGTAAATCATCACACAAAGAGACATTTCAAGCAGTTACAAATATTTTATAGTCAAAAGTTAACACTGTCAAATATTATTGTTTCTGTATTCGTCAGGTACAATATCTGTTTTAACCACATTTCTAAAAATCTTCTTATCTGTTCTTAAAGATAACTGGTTAAGTATGTAAGTAATAAAATATATAGTTGATACAATGCCTAAATAAACAAATGACAATAAATACTCTGTGGTAGTGGAAACAACATGAAAAAAAACACTAGTTTTATGTCTCCTTTCTCTTCAGAGATTTTAAACGTATCAAACTTGTCAGCCTTTGGTGATGAACTTTCCTTTTGCCAGGCTTCTATTTACTTTTTTTTTATCCTTTAAGTCAATCCAGAGAAATCTACAGTTCTATTGTAAAATAATTTTGAGATAGTGTATTGTAATGGCACTGCAGTTGACTTTTATTTAATCTAAGTGAATGAAAAGGTAAGAAAAAATAAATGAAAAAGCTTCTGATCAATGAATTCCAATAATGTAATATGCACTTTCGTGTATTGCTATAATGGCAACACTAGGCCTCTCTGGAAATCTTGTAAAATAACATGACCCAACATTATACTACACAAGTCCTCAATGTTTCTTGCTTTGCTTATTTAGCCTCACTTAATGTTAATGTTGTTATAGATTGAAATAGAAATAGAAAAAATCACAGGAAATATTTAAATATAATGTTTTGTCTGACAAGCAATGCTGGGTGATTGTAATGTACAAAATGAGCACTGTGCAACCGTTTTAAATCACATAAATGTGTATTATGACTTCTCACAGTATGAAAAAAAACATAAAATGAAATTACATGATTATTTGCTTTTCAAAAACTCAACATGAGAGTAGTACAGGAGTACATAAGGAGTGTGTAGACAAAATAGCACAAACTACTGTAGTTAATCACACTCGCTCAATCAAAATACATCATGTTGTATTCCAGGGGGTTTATGGTTTTCGTCAAGAACACAATGGGATCAAAAGATGCGTTCATTGCTTTCTGGTTAATATTTACAAATCAGACTTTTTGCATCACTGTCAAAAGAGATATTTACTCAGTTCATTTCAAGCTTGCCATTCTTGTTTGTTCACAGGCCTACACCTTTCTGGAGAAAGTGGGGATTCAGTGTGGATCTGGCAACCCAAAACAACCACTGTATTCATGATCCAGTTTTAAATCGCTTTTATGTATATGTACATGTGCAGCATTGTCATATCTTCCTCAGAGTCCACCATGCTTACAATATTCCTATAATTGAGTTGCTTGATGAGACAAAAGAAGCTGAAAGGTGATGACTGGAGATAAAGAACTGCAGTAGTTTGCCAGACAGCTTGCATAGAGTAAGCTCCAGTCGTCCATCCTCTACAACCTTCTCCTTTAACTCAAGCATGCGTCCAGAGATCCAGAAAACTGCAGAGGGGATGATGACTTTTCCTTCTTGAAACTTTTACAAATGTATTTCAGTCTCCATTTTGACTATCATGAAAACGTGTTTTATATTTACTACACACTCCATCATACTACATGTTTGTCCTTTGGCAGTCATAAGGAAGATGTGTAGCTTAAATTATCTAAGATAGCCCTCAGTCAGTAAAGACAGTAACAGTCAACAGACAGATTACGAGTTTACAACTAGACCCTTTATGTCGGAGCATAAAGAGACATGTTCTCACAAGAAACCTACAGTTTTATCTACAGTCAATTACATAATTACTATCATAGTGAAAACTTAAAATGAAAGGATATAAAGTTAGGAACTAGGTTTGAAAGGGATCCCTGTTTGTCACACTTTAATCTTCAGCAGTTGCCTTAAACAATCGTCTTAAACCCCCTTAAATCCCCCCAATCCTTAAATAAATGTGATAACTTCCACAAACATATAATCCATTATATTGTGGTCTTATTAGAAGAGCTGTTGGAGTTTGTGATAGTGAAATTAGGGGTGTGTTTGGGTGTGATTTCCTTTTTTCAGAGTGGTCACACCTCGGTGCTGATGGCTCGGGTGTTGGTGTAGAAATCGGGGGGGTCGGCCTCGCTGGGTCTCCCTCAGCAGGGAGCCTCGGACGGTAGGCAGCGGCATCGCCAGCGCCTGGTTCTCATAGTGTGTGGGCATGTAGGTGATGCGCTCGCCACCGTTGCGCATCTCGTCAGTGGTACGGATGTAGAAGGGCGAGTCATAGGGCGAGCAGGTGGGGCAGTAGGTGCGTGGCCCCCCTGTGGGTTTGGTGGGGTCGGAGGCTCGGGGCAGGTCTGGTGGGGACATGGACAGCGGGGTGATGATGGACCCGTCCAGGCCGGAGACACTGCAGGCGTTGCAGGCAAAGTGTTGCTGAGAGATGGAGCCGCTGTCAGACCCATTCTTCTTACAGCAGTAGTACTACAGAGGGGAAAGTCCATCACAGTCAGACAACAAAACTAACTGCACTGCAGTGTACCACTCTACAACACTGAGGTTGTTATTAAATGCTATCTCAGTTTCTTGAAACAACTACAAATTTGAAGATACAATGAAATAAATCCCAATAATAGATGTAATCAACATGCTTTAAAAATGTGTTTCTTCATAATAACTGTCCTTTTAAAATGACTGGAATACAATTTCTACAATGTCCCTAAAACAAGTGGGTTTATCAAGGTGGGATTTATTTTTTGGTTTACTAAGCTATTGTAATATTGATTAAAACAACTGTAAACTACAAATTCTTACTGAATATTCAAAACACAATTTCCATTTAACTGAAATAACTAACATGTATTGCTACCAATAATGTATGATTTTCTTTACATATTTGATGACCATCTTCCAATTTGATACAATATGTATAGCTTACAGTCTCCTATAAGGTGATATGTATATCATATATATATCTACAATGTGGCAGAATGATTCATATTGAAGTGTGATTTGACTATCTTTGAACACAAACACACTGAAAGAGTTGTACCTGGAGTCTACAGTAACAGAGCACAGCTATGATACACAGAAGTATCACTGTGGCCAGTATTCCTCCGGTTATGACAACAGTTCCAGCTGTCATCCGACCAGCTCTCCATCAAACTCTGACACAGGCACAGGAAGTGACATCATTAACAAGAGACGCCAGCTACAACAGCACATTTGACTTTCAATCAAATCACGCAAAGGTCAGCATCACAGTAAACACAGACGCAATGTGCTGGAATATATTTTCTCTGTTAGAACGTTAATAGAACAAACTCAAAAGGTCATTCTATAATTATGTGTAGAGAATTATGTGAAGAACATGAAAAGTGTCTTTGATACAAGCATGCATTATCACAGGTAATACAGCAGACAACTCTCCTAACTGCAAAACTGAAACTGAATCATAAAGAAAATGTAATATTTATATTGATAATTGTAAACCTAATATACTTTTTATACCCTCCACAGGAGGTAATGTTTTTGGTTTGGTATGATTGTTGTGTGAGACGGATAAATGGAAAAACTACAGGCACAATTTTCATGAAACTTGGTGGAGGGGGGTAGCATGATTCAAGGAGGAGATCATCACATTTAGAATCGGATCCTGGTGACTGGGCGGATTCACAATAATTCATATATAAAGCATACATTTACCATGAGGCATAAATGTTACAGAGTAAACCACACTGTTATTATCTGTTGTCATACTCACGTTCAGCAAAGTTGCTTAACACCTGAGGAGAGAAAAAGGGTGGTTCATTTGACTTATATATAATAGAAAGACAGACAGACAGACAGACAGACAGACAGACAGACAGACAGACAGGCAGGCAGACAGGCAGGCAGACAGGCAGGCAGACAGACAGACAGACAGACAGACAGGCAGGCAGGCAGACAGGCAGGCAGGCAGACAGACAGACAGACAGACAGACAGACAGACAGACAGACAGACAGACAGGCAGGCAGGCAGACAGACAGACAGACAGACAGACAGACAGACAGACAGACAGACAGAGAGAGAGATAGATAGATAGATAGATAGACAGATGGACTTACATCAGAAGAGTGTTTAAAGGTTGTACGTGTGAGGAGAAGTCACATTAGAGGTCAAAGGTGAGAGGACTGCCACACTGTATGAACATATCTGAGGAGAGAGGAATTGGAAAGAATAGTATTATATAAAAGTATAAGCTTCAGTGAAGAAGCTGTACACATATTCTCCACAAGGTGGCACAGACAGAACAGACAATAATCTCTCACAAATACCTGGCAAAACAGAACTCCACTAGATACAGTAATGTCTTTGAAGGATTAGGAAAATGGCCACTTGTTCCCCTTGCCCCGACCATTCTCAAGTCAGCAAAAATGTAAAAGACCATACCGAATCACACAACAGCTCCTAAGATGTGTTAAAGATCTCAAACGCATGTATGTATATGATAGTGCTAAGAGAAGCTGAATTCGTTTTTTCATTCACACACAAATGTTGACAGTCTGACGAGAAGTAAAGGAGGCAGTACTGTGGTCTGAACCCCTTCTCTGGCACCAAGCTCATAAACCATGTTTCTGCCAGAAAGTACACTTGCCTTCAATTATTTGTAGGGACCACAGGGGATGGCAGCCGACAGATTTCTCTTAACATCACTCATCATAACTCTCTCCAGTGCGTGCAACCTGAAACTCGGTACACCAAACTGTATTTTGCATAATTAATGCCAGCGCGGTGACTTGTACTCCAAATGGAAATGAAGTCACCGCTGTCACCACGTCATCCCTAACTCATAACAGATCTGTTTTTCTTCCTGTTTACATGTTGCTCTGCAAGCTCTTTCAGGCAAAGTTGGTGGTTAGATCAATTTGAGTTCACTTCATTTGACAAACTCCAGAGAGAAATTAGATATGTTCATCAGTACACACTCACACAGTGTGCTGCTGAGTGCAGGCACAACAAGCTGGATCAGACACTACTGGGTCCAGATTAGAGCAGTCTTCAATCCCCAATACTGCCTGAAGAGACTGATAAGACTCTCTCACACAAATACAAAACTCAACAAGGCAAACATGTAGTCATGCATCACCACATACATCAGTAAATCCTAAAAAGTATGTTTGAACAACAAGGCAATTGAAAGTGCTTTACAAAAAACATTGAAAGCACCAACACATGCAAAATAACTCACTATAAAATGACATAGTACTGTATACATCATATTAAAGATAACCAGTGATCCAGTTTATAATCATGAGCTCCTTTAGGCTATAGATGTATATAACGAAGTTGCAAGCATATTGTTGTTGTCTTGTCTTTATCATGCAACATTTTAGCTTGAGGCAGAAAACACATTTTTCAATCCCACCATGTTCAATGTTCAAATGACATCACTGACACCTGTCAGTCATCTCAGCTGGCTTACAGTATGTGTACCCTGAGGCTGTCAGTGATGCTGATGTTTGTAAATCTTCCATCTTATATTACATCTTGATACACTATACTATACTAACGGTATGGTGTGTTCGATTTTGGGACGATGCAGTATTTGTTGTTCATTTGAAAGACAGGTGAAAAACGAAATGTTTGATTGGTTGCCAACCTTGACAAGACCCCAGAGGAAACAATAAGAGTAAGATGAGTACTCAACTACTTTGCTTTAGTTTTGGTCTGAATCAATTTGTTAAGATAGCAAATTGAAGGAGCTAACATTAACACAAGGAGAGTGCAAGAGATATCAGGGATCAGGGTTTCTTTTTTAAAGCTTTTACATCTACTATCATTAGCCATTTGTATTTTGAGTTTTATTTATTTGTTGGCACTCCATTGTTTCCATTTATTTTTTCTTCCAAAGTGTTTTGGTTTGTAGGCAAAAAAACCTTCATGCTGTACAACTGCAGGTTTCCCATATGCTGTTTTTGGCAAATCAGAGTAATGGGAATATCTCCCCCTCTCTCTCTCTCTGATGGAGTGTTCCCTCTGGACTCTCGGCCATCAGTCTTCAGGAGCAGCTGAAGGACCTTGACTGCCCCGGAGGATTTTTACGAGATTGATTCTTTGGATCTTAAATTGCTCAGACCAGCAGTCGGCCAGTGTCAGTCTCTCCTCTACAAAACACACCACAAACACAATCCATGCTTGTAACATAAACGCCACAGGTCCCATCCCAACAGTGTTTGTTTTTGCATAACAAAGTATGTTTGAGAAAGACACCAACCTGCTCCCTCATCGATTAAATGTAAGCAGAAATGTGAGAAATTATAGAAATATTATGCAATTTTGGATAAAGGTTTATTAAATGAACTTTGAATCTTCCTTGGAAATGAAAGCAGTCAGTCAAAATGCTGCGATCAGAAAACCATAAACAGAATAGAGAAGTATATTCTTATTTAATCCTGGTTTTAATATTTTGGAAATGTTTGATGTTGTTCAGAACTGATTATTACACGACCAACCAAAATGGCGAAATAAAACATTGCGGGTTGCTTTTGCAATGCTTTTGAGTCCCAAAAAATGTGGATAAGGTAAATGGAGGGCTGAGAATTTTCCCTCCATCAATGTCAATCCAAGCCCTGAACCTAGAGCAGTGCTTGAAGATGTGTTCTTTTTAACTTACTACCTTCTAAGTGAAATTATTTAGTTTTCCTGACAACTTCAGGTGTTGATCCCAGCAGCAGCTCAGACCCAGAGCCAATCTACCTAGGCAATAATCCAAATAAAAAAAACACAAAATGTCATCACATATTTTGGAAAACCTCCATTTTGTCATCTAAACTCCACGGCTCTATAGCTGCTGTTGTGAGCGGAGAGAAAACAAGTGGCACATCCAAATGGGATTCATGGTCACAGTTGAAATGTAATTTGTCTAATCCTGTTATCTGGCGTTCCAACGGCTTTCCTCTATCTGTTTCCTCTCAAACGTCTCTGTTGCGGCCCGGTGTGGGCGTCTGTGTGTGTGTTTGCATGTAAGTGTGCATGTGTGTTAGTTCACATGCGTGGGTGTAAAGTTAATACAATTTGGGGGTCGGTTAAGACATTGTGGTATTTCTTTTTCATAAAGATTATTCAATGTCAAAGTAAAATTAAGAGTAAAATGACAAAACAAAAATCCATAATCTGTTAAAGCTCCACTGGGAAACTTCACACAGTGGCTACATTAAATTACAGGATGAATGTTTGGATCAGTTTTATATATTGTTGTAAGGGGATGACAGCAGATTGAAAAAGCTTACTCATCTGTAAAATCACTAATGTTATTTGAAAGTAACATTAGCTGAACTTCTCCTCTGTAAAGGTGTGGGCACTGTCCTTGGTGCTGAAGTGCTGTTACTGGAAGCACAACCTACTGTGTCTATGCTGTTTTGTCCATGTTGTGAACCCCACAAATGTATGAAATGATTAGGCAGGGTGGATTGAGCTGTATGGCAGGTAACTGTGTGGACAATTTTTTGGTTTTGCAACCAAACATTTAGATTATCTTCTGCACTCGCCAAAGTTGGTAGTGGTTTGTCCCTGACATGTTACTGTTTTCATTTGCAACAAAGTTAGTATAATGTAAAAATGCTAAAGTTAAAATGCAAAAAAATCAGTACTGTTACTGCTGTATCAAAAAGTGTAACTACTTTCCGCCTGCATGTTTTTGATGTAATAACGCTTCAGTGATAACTACATCAACTTCGAGAATGCTAAAGCTTACATGTGACCTTGACAGCCTTCTGAGGGACCTATAGGAGCTAAACCAGCCGTTATCACATCTTCTCTCTTGAGCTGTTGCAGCAGTTACGGCCCAGTGGGCAGAGATTGATGACACTGAACATTTCAGTTCAATTACTTGATTTTGCTCGAGGTCATTTGGGGCGAAGAATGCAATGAATGTGAAGAACCACTCCCCAGAATGATCCTCTTGGCCCTATAAAAGTACATGATCAATACAGGCGGTAAAACGCCTTTGCCCCTGTGAGGATGGAGAGAGATAGGACGACAGAGAGTTGGAACACAGTTTCAGTCTTTTTCTCCGTCCAATCTGGACCATGTTCTGATGCTGTATAGGCTGCTGGCAGATTTATGACTGGTGTACTTTGTGCAGCTCTGCAGGCTACTGTACTCCAGCCAGCCAGCTCCTGATTCAGCCTGTCTACACACTTGCTGTGACTCAAGATGTGTTGAATACCTTCACTCACATGGCAGGCAAAAGATTCATTAATCACGGTCCATCTGTAATTTCACACACGTCAAATTCAACTTCCTGCCTTTCAATATAGGCCTATCACCAGATTCCTGGGCCAGTAGGATGGCTGTGGGCCCAGCTGACATCCACTGCACCATGACTGCTGTAACAACCACAGCCACTGCTGCTGCAGATTCTACTAATATTGAAATGAACCTTCTATGATCACAACTAATGCAATAGAGTTTCATTTTTGACAAATGCTGCCACTGTTCAAACTTTACTGTAAATATGCTTTTGGTTTAATGTTTATAGTATATCCTAACTTCTCTTTTAGATAAAGGCTTCCAGTTTCTTTTGACACTTGATTATTTGCATTAAAAATGCTTTAACGATATGATTTGTATTTGACCCAATCAACTGTTGTTTTAGGTTGATATGTATTAATTTCTAGCACTAGAACATGTGTTGGTAATCTGCAGAAGGTAACTATAGAATTATGTCTTCTTAACATGTGCATGGCTGTTAACAAATCAGAGTCACATATCCGCTGTGACACCAAATGCATATTCGACTATTAAACATTGTCTTAAAATCCATGAGCTGAAATAATATCAGTGAAAAGGTTTCTGGTGAAAGTCTAGGAATAAAAGCCCTTCTATAATACAGCAAAAGAGTGCCCTTAGGCAAGGCATTGTACTTGTGTAGCTGCGGCCTGTAGCTGGGGCCAACAGCAGTAGGTTGTGAGCTCCCAGGTCAGGTGACTTGTACATGTATGGTGCTCAGCCAATTTCCCCAGGATAAACTTCCCCAAACACATTTAGATATTAAACAGATATAGACACAGCAGCCTGCAGCAATGCTCAGCAAACATGAAAGGTAAAGCTGCACTTGTGTTTCTCATATTTGATGAGTGTTGGTTTTGTTCAGACAGGGCCAATACTCTACACATGTATCTGATATTGACAGATTGTTTTTCACCGTGTTA